TGGACCATAACAATTGATTGGTTTGGGGATTGTTTTTTTTTCTTTTAAATAACCCTTTTAAAAAAATCTGAAGGGCAGGTAGTAAGAAATACCGAAATATTTGTAGAGTATGAATGCTCTTCAGGTATCATTGCTTGCACTTGAAAAGCCTGTTTAAAGTCAGCTGTTTTCTTCAGGACCAGATTCTCAGGTTGCTTTGCTGGGGAATCTGTGAGCAAAGCACCATGGCTAGATGATACTGCTTCTCCAAAAATGGGATGCTCATGCATCAGAGTCTCCCTGGTCATTACTTGACTGCCCAAAGGAGACAGGCAGTCAATTGTAGGAAAGAGTGATAGCTGAAAGGTAGATCATGCTGTGTGGAGTTGCTCTTTCAGACAAATTTATGTAGGCATTGAATACAATCATTGCTCTCTATAATGGTATTCATGCTCTTTTTAAAATTATTTTTTTTTTTTTGTCATTAACTGCTTAGAACTTTTCAGTATAATTACAAATAAAAATACCATGCTTAAAATTAGATATGTTCTGCTGATGACACACAACTTGGAATGAAATCTAGTCTCGTATTTTACCTAACATCAGCTATGAGAACAGGAAAATATAGAACTTAAAATTCATTTCTTTTAATAAAGTAATTTATTTGGATTCTGAAAGCTCAGAGTGACCAGGCTACTGCATTACAATGTGCTATTCTCTGCATAGTCACTTTTCTATTCATAGTGTTTCCTTTGTATTTTGAATTTCAGCAATGATTTTACCTTAAAGTAGCTGTCTAAGTGAACATTTATAGTATACAACAGAGAAAATAATGTGAAAGTCACTCGGCTGCTCCATTCGCACATAGAATCATACTATCATAGAATATCATAGCAAGGTTTCAGCTGGAATGGACCCTAAGGATCATCTAGTTGAAGCCCCCCCTGCCATGGGCAGGGACACCTTCCACTAGACCAGGTTGCTCCAAGACCCATCCAACCTGCCCTTGAACACTTCCAGGGATGGGGCAGCCACAGCTTCTCTGGGCAACCTATTGCAATGCCTCACCATCCTCATAGTAAAGAATTCCTTCCCAATATCTAATCTAAACCTACTCTCTTTCAGTTTGAAGCCATTATAACTCGTCCCATCACCTCATGCTCCAGTAAAAAGTCCCTCTCCAGCTTTCTTGTAGGCTCCCTGCAAGTATTGGAAGGTCACTATAAGGCATCTCTGAAGACTTCTCTGCTCCAGGTTGAACAACTCCAACTCTTTCATCCTGTCTTCATAGGAGAGGTGTTTCAACCCTCTGATCATCTTGTTGGCCCTCCTCTGGACTTTCTTAAACAGGTCCACATCCTTTTGTTGCAGATCCCAAAGCTGGACACAGTATTACAGGTGAGGTCTCATTAGAGAAGAGTGGAGGGGCAGAATCACCTCCCTCAACCTTCTGGCCATGATGCCTTTGATGTAGCCCAGGATAAGGTTAGCTTTTTGGGCTTCAAGAGCACATTGCCAGGTTGTATAAAGCTTCTCATCCACCAACAGCCCCATATCCTGTTCTCAGTCCATTCTTTGCCCAGCCTGTATTCATGCTTGGGATTACCCAGGCCCAGGTGCAGGACCTTGCACTTGGCCTGAGGTTTACACGTCCTCACATGAGGTTCTCGTGCCTATTAAGATCCCTCTAGATGCCATCATTTCCCTCCAGTGTGTCATCTGTACCACACAGCTTAGCGTCTTTGCAAACTTCCTGAGTGTGCACTCAATGCCACCATCTGTGTCACCAAAGATATTAAACAGCACCAGTCCCAATATGGAACCCTGAGTAATGCCACTCATCAGTGGTCTCCACTTAGAAAATCTACCTATTTAATACAACTTTTTGTGTGTGACCATCATTCAGTTCCTTATCCATCAGGTGCCCAATCCATCAAATCCATGCCTCTGCAGAAGCAATGGGAATGTCTGTGTCCCTTGTCAAGTTGTCTGGTAGTACACAGTCATGTACAAGCACGGTATCTAAGTTAACATTTCTGCATTCCATGGGGTGGAATCATTAGCACAGGTAAATCTCTGTGCTGCAGCCAACAAATTTATTTGGAACACAGTTTATGATCTAATAGATGTAAATGTCTGCTGTGAAACTAATGATGGATGAAGGAAGAGAACAAGTTATCTCACAAGATTTCCAGTTGGAATAGAAATAATCTATCTTGAAAAATGTTGACAAGTTCACTTCTAATCTAAGTTAGAAAATTGAGGCTGGAGTAGATAATGCTGAAAAATAATGGGGTGAAAATCTGTTCTAACTTTTCAAAGTATTTCCTACATCCATTCTTACCTCGCTACAAAGTGCTTAGGGAATTGCAGAGCTATTCAATCACTTTCATACTAACAGAAAAGCCCCATGTGCACAGCTTTTTTATGAACTATTTCCTGTGTTAAAGAGAATTTCTGGCTATTACTAGCTGTATAAAGTAGTTCACTGTTTTTTGCTGCCACGTTTAGAAATTTATTGAAGTGTGAGGGAATCTTAACTGATTCTGAACAGCCTTGCCACTGTGTTTTTTCAATGTTACCTTTTTGACATTTTTGATTGAATAAAGAGAACAGAAAATAAACACCCTTTAGCCTTCTATACAACTCACCTTCTTTTTTAAAAGTGGGTTTTTTAGAGCTGCAAATGTAGGTCTATAAGAATAATCATCAAGACAGTATTGATCTTTCCCAGAAGGATATGAAAAACTTTTTGAGAAACCTGTTAATGTTCATACACCTAAGAATAGTGACTAAGGATATAGCTCTGAAACAGTAGCAGATGAGAGACATGAAAAAATTGTGAATATTATGGTATTGTGAAGATGATATCACAGCCTCAGGTGTTTCCCAAGAAGAGATTATAATTCTACTTTCTACCCTAAAATCTGTCCTAGTTGTAGTAGGAGATGGTGAAAGTCAATGCAGTCAATGACCTTAAAGCTGGCATATTAAAATGGTGTGAAAAGGTCTAATTATCATAAAGGTCATAGGATAAAAATTTTGTTCCAATTCTGTTATTTTCAGGAGCCAATGGAAATGTGACACCGCTATCAAAATTCTTAAGTGGCTTTTAGAAATGCTTGGTGTTTACTTTTTTTGATTTAATATTGTAGGATTTATATTTCTTGGAGTAAGGGCATCATAGCTGAATTTTTAACAAAAATTAAAGACAAAATACATATTTAATAAAGTACTTGCTTAAAATTAATGGCAGAAAAATATTTCAAGGGAGTATGAAAACTGTCTCTAGTGTTCATCTAATTTCAGAGTTAGTTAAAACAAGAAATTAAATATTTTACAAAAAAATATTATTTAATAGTAATACAGGTCTTACAAAAGACACTGAAATCAGATTTAATTCCAAGATGTTTTACATATGGAAAATTTTACTAAAATATTTTATATGATATAGTTCTAGATAAAAGCATTTAATTTCCAGTCCTTTTATAATTTTAAATAAATGTTAGCTGAACTCAAGGTCTCAAATTTACATGGAAAATAAGTTTAAAATTCTTTTAAGTTCTTTTAGATGATTGAAGCATGAAATTTCCAATGGAAAAATATTTTCTATTAAAAAAATCTAAAAGACATAAATTTTCAATATTTCTGACTGATAAGAACAGTCAGATTGATTTTTTTTATTCACTTTGTGTGAAATAAAAGTATCCAGTCAATAAATCTCGCGCTTTTACTGCATCTTTTGAGGTCAAGAATAATAAATAAAAATATTTGAGCTTTTAGCATGAGTGCACTGAACAGTGTTTCTTCCTCATTCTGCACCTCAGCTTTCTACTTTTCCCTCCACTGCACTCAGTTTCAGGTGAAACATAGACTTTACCAATAACATGTATTTCCTTGAAAGTCTTGATCACCATGTGATTCCATGTTTAATGGGATATGATGTTTTGTCACAGCAATTTTACAGTGGAATAACTCCCGTGATTTTGTTGACTGTTACTCTTTTTTTGTATTAGTGAAGCTGAGAAGAGATTTAGCTGCATCATTCCTCAAATTGCATGAAATTTGTCCCCTAATCAGAAGGTTCACTTTATCCATGTGATTTGCTGTAATGTCAACTTTCCAACATTCAATCAGAGTGGAGAAGCATTTAATATAAGTTGTCTGTGTTTATGAAGATAGCTTCCTAAGCTCAAGAGGGTATCCTCCACAGAAGGGTCTCTGCTTCTTTCTCCATGTGTAACTCTTATAGCAATCATAATGAAAGACATGTATTTCCTGGTATGTCTTTGAGTATGATTCAAATGATGAGATAAGTTTGAGAACAAACATGAGTAATGCCTATATAAGCTTGACTTTTTTTTACATTTAAAAGATGAATATACAGGTATAATATGAGTAAACTTTTTAAAAGTGTTCAAAAGATTTCTGATCTTATTGAGAATAAGAATTATGTGCCTAAGATAAAGCATTTTCAAAACCAGATCATCTTTTTCTCCAAAGAAAGATGCATTTGGGGTAGGAAATAGATACTCTCTTATTTGCTTTTGAAGAGTTTCTTTCTAAGTGGACAGTGAAGAAGCAGTTAAAAATCTGTGTGTGTTTCTCTAGACTCTAAAAGGGAACTCTTCAGAACCATTGCAGTCCTCTACAGCAGAATTTGACTTGAGATGATGGTTTGTTTCAACCTCTAGGTTTACCATTCAAATATTCTTCTGTAATAGAAATACACTACTAGCTTCCCTTTAATGAGTGGAAACTTGTGTGTTTAAAAATGCCACTTCTCTCCATCAACAATTACAGATATCTTGCCTAAAATCCTCATGTATTACAGTAAGAATTTTTAGGAAAGTATTACAGTATCAGTACAGAAGAGGTAAAAACTAGACAGGTGTTTTAGGTACCCTGTCCATTTTCACTATTTATTACTCATTTTCAGTGCTTGAAGCTTGAAGCTGCCTTTGCAAACTCACTCTAACTTCCAGAAGTTTGACTTACTGATATCAAATGTTTGCTTTCAGATATCAACATGGCAGGAGAACCAAAACCATACAGACCAAAACCTGGCAACAAGCGGCCACTTTCAGCACTTTACAGGTAAATGGGATTTCACTTTAAATTTTTAACCAATACAACTTTTATCAGTAAAATTATAATAACCTGAATTGTATCTAATAGTGCCACTTTACAATGTTTATCAAAATTATAATGAAATGCACAATAAAATCTTACATATGTAATTGACTAAGTCTACTGATAAAAAGACTGGTGCAGTGATCTGTGAAGTGCTTATTAATGCTCCCACTACTATTACTATTATGAATAATTTTTTGTTTGTTTTGTTTTTAATTGAGTGCTATTTCAATTTTAAATCCTTATGCTTTATTGCTTGGTTATGGCCTCATTTTTTGTGACTTTTTAATTTGCAGCAATCAGTTGAAATAACTAATAATTTCAGAGCAACAAAATTGGTTTCTCATTGATTTTTCTGTCAAGGGTGAAAGCCAAGTTCTGACAAGACAGAACTTCTTCCTTGGCTCTTTGGGAGGGCATTGATAATGTCCTTCTCCTATTCCCAAGTGTCTTTTGTCATGGAATTTGTATAAACTTGAAGAAACATCCACTTTTTTTTTCCAAATCAATTAAGCTTAGGGAGCTTTACAGATTGTTAGGGCTACCATGCCCACATGGATTTCTGCTCCATAAACTTCACTTCTCATAAAAGTACTATAGAATTTATTTTCCAGTTGCATGAGGAAATAGGACTGAGTTTTGCTGTAGCTAAAATGCAGATAGACTAGCTCTGAGATCAACAGTGAAATCAGACATAATTGAGCAGGACTTTTTCATGCCTAGTCTGGCCTGAAAACTTCAGATGAAAATTCGAGGTTGGGATCTCAGACTGAGAAAGCCAGCAGTATTTTAGATCTGAACATCCATGCTACATAGAAGTAATTTGAAGTTTTATATAACTGCTCTTAGCCGAAGTGATAGAAATATTATTTTTTGAGAAGAGAATCCTGTTTTGTTACTACTCTCAACTGCAAGCTGCTAAACTATGTAAGTGTTACTGGTAGTCATGGTCTACTGTGTCCCTCTGACAGTATTTCAAAAGATTTTGGAAGACGTTCCATGACCTCTGGCATTTATATGCACTTCCACCTCTGAGCTTCTGAACAATTTCTCATAAATGCTTGTTCTACAGACAAGATAGGGATAAGAGAGAGACATGTGGAAAGTTCTGAGGGAACTTTAAAGACAAAAAAAGATCTTAGATTGTGTCTTTTCATGAATGTAGTGCAAACTATTTCTCTAGAATATTATGAGAGGCTTTTTTGAGCACCTAAGATAATCCTGCTTTCCTCCCTATCTTCATTGTCCCCCTCCACTCTGACCTCATAAGATCTCACCTGGAGTCCTAATTACTGCTCTGGAGCACTAGAAATTAGAATGTCTAGGACCTATTAGAGCAGGTCGAGAGGAGGACCACAGAGATGATCCTGGGGTTGTAGCACCTCTTCTATGAAGACAGACTGAGAGATCTAGGGTTGTTCAGACTGGAGAAGAGAAGACTCTAGGGACACCTCATTGTGACCTTCCAGTACTTAGAGGGGGGTTATAAAAAAGAGAGAGCACAACTTTTTGCATGCACAAAGTGATAGGACAAGTGGGAAAGTTTTCAACTAAAAGAGGAGAGATTTAGTTTAGATGTTAGGAAGAAGTTCTATACTCAGAGGGTAGTGAGGTACCTGAAAAGGTTGCCCAGAGTAGCTGTGGATGTCCCATCCCTAGAAATGTTCAAGGCCGGGTTGGATGGGGTCCTGAGCAGTCTGATCCAGTGGACGTGATCCCTGCCCAAGGTGGGGTGTTTGCAACTAGATGATCCTAAAGGTCCAAACCACTCTATTGTTCTATGATATGATCACTTTCAACCCAAGCCTTTCTATGATTCTAGGTTCTATGTTAGTGAAAAAATTTATTATTTCAGTATCTGTTAGCATAATAATATGTGAGGAGATAATTGTTTTACAAAGTTCTTGACAACACTGAGAACGTTTACGTATTTCAAAACACTGTCCTGTGCCTGTCTGGGATGGAGTTAACTTCCTCCATAGGATCCCATACGGTTGTTCTGTGTTTTGGATTTGCTGCTAAAATACATCAATCTTTTGGCTGTTACTGAACAGTGTTTGTACAGCCTCACAGTATTCTCTTTTTCCTGTTCTACCTTTGGAATTAATAGACTTGAGGTGGACAAGAAGTTGTAAAGGAATACATCTGAGACAGCTGACACAAACTGGCCAAACAGATATTGTCTCGTATAACATCATGCTCTGAAATAAAAACTGGGGAGGTTTTTTCTTCCAAAGCAACTGTTGCTTGGAATCTGCCTGAACTGCTTATGGAAGATGGAAAGTAATTGCCTTTGCATAACTCGGGAGTTTTTTTCCCCTCCATTCTTCCCCCCTTATTACACCTCAATTATGTCAACCCGTGAGGCTTTTTCACTTTTGCTCTCTCCTTCATCCTGATAGGGGAAAATGGTAGGGGAGTGAGACAGTGACTATGTGAATACTTAGCTGCTGGCAGGGTCCACCCACAAGACTGAAAAAGTAAAGAGGGAAGTGGTTACATTAGATTTGATTTGCACTAAGAGAGATATTGGTTAAAAATTTAGTTGTCACAAAATAGTAATTGTTAAAAGGAAGAACTGTGAGCAGTAGAAGTAGGATAATGGATTTCACAAAGTACAGACTTCAGTGAGCTCAGAGACCTAGTAAGTAGGATATCTTGGAAAGAAATTTGAGGGACAATAGAAGTGCAGAAAAACCTGCATTCACTGTTCTTAAGGTAGAACAGAAAATTCTCCTGAAGCAGAAGAAGTTGAACAAAGGAATAATATGGCAGCATCAAGTTTCTTTGACATCCTGAAAAGTGAAGAGGAATTGTACAAAATGTGGAATCAAAACCCCATGACTGGAAATAAGTAGAAAAGAAGAGCAGAGTCATATATCAAGATGTCAGAAAGGCTAAAGCACATAACAACATAAAAGGTAACAGAGAAGGTTGTCATTAGACTGACTTCCTCTGATTTTTGATACTGCTGTTAGTTAGCAGGAAAGGAGATTAGATGGCAGATGATATAAAGACTTTTTTTAGTTCAGCAAAAGTGTCTAGTTGACCAGCTATTTAAAAAAATCAGTTTTAACCAGGGGCTATGCAATAAAAGAATTGGATAACCAGTATTTGGCTAAATGAATTTAATGGAAATACTATGATGAGATTCACTGTAGTGTGTTCAAAGGACTAACTGAATCTGTGTATGAACTATTAGTGATTTTTTTTCAGAAACTTACAGAGGCTATGTAAGGTAAAGAAACAGTGGGTGTGGGCAGGTGTTACACCTATTTTTAAGAAGAAGATGATCCAGAAAATTGTCAGGTCAGCCAAGCCTTGATTCCAAGAAATGTACTGGAACACATTATTAGCAGTCAATTTATTAATACCTAGAGGATAATAAATTGGTAAAAAATATCAGGGGCAAATTATGTTAAGGAAATATCATTTTGTTCTTTGACAAGACAGCAGATTTAGCGTATAAAGGGGAAACTGTAGATTTGCTATAGGGTCAATTAAACAAGTTTTGACACTTATCATGTGGGCAGTTTTCATAAGCCTGATCAGGAAATTTGCCTAGAAAAACTGTCTTAAGGTAGACGTCCCATGGAAAAACAATGACTGTGTACAGCACAGTATTAAGGATAACACCTATAATTTGTTCAGTCTCCTTTGTTATGGATATTTAAATGACACTTGAGACACATGCAAGAACAGTTTTAAGGTAAGCAAGCAGGACTGCTGCGAAGGCTCACATGATTTTATTTATTTTGAAGTGCCTGAGACTTCAAAAGTGTGCAAAGGACTCTGCGCCTCTGAAAAGTCTGTATCACATTTGCAGCTGGATATACACATAAGTAATTTATACAGAGCAACTGATGTTTACAATGTGTTATATCCACATAATTTGCTTGTGTGGTCAAGTCATTAGATCCATTTTTGCGCATAATGGCATAAAGATACCTGTGTTAGTTCAGGATCAACATTCCTCTTTTCTAACCTTTACAGTTTTATGATCTGTGTAATTTTTGGATTAGTTCTTAAAAATATTTTGAGAATAAAAAGATTTAAGCATTACTTCAGAAAGCTGCCAAACACATTATTAATTTTAAGCGTACTCACTGAACAATTAAAGATGTGCTTAGGGTAGTATTTGGGAATCAGTTAAAATCTCACATAGCTGGGAGCTCCAGCAGCATTCCTCCTACTTTGCATTGCTGTTCAGTATGTGAGGGGGGAACCTAATCCCAAAAGTTTCAAAATCGTTCTGAATTTTCTTTTTTAGCACAACAATTCTACAGAAAACCAAATGCCTGAAAAATCTGCATCTTAAAATTGGTTTGCATCTTGTTATATGGGTCTAGCCTCCAGCAGAAGTTAATTTTACTGGCTAATCTTCATATCTTTGAAACACAAGGTGAAGATTAGAGGTGCTGAAAAAAATGTGTTAAAGCACTCTTTGGGAGCAATGTTGTGGCAAAATAAAAGATCACACTTTGTCTTTTTAATTTAGTGGTGTTTTGATCAGTATTTCGTTAAAGCAACTCTGTGTCAGCATATGAAAGCCCATTTACTGTTGTGTTCTTTTTTTTCTCTGTGTTTATGCTGCAACATACCAAAGCAGAATCAAGTGCAAATACTCTGATAGACTGACATTCTATTTCTGTACATCATAAAAAGAATGTTTTAACTATTTATTGTTCATTTCAGTCCACCACTACGTTATATGAGGTGTTTAACACATCCCTTAAAGCTTTTACTGCATTTTGGAGGCCTTTGCTGTAGTTTTTAAAACAGTATAAGGCTCTTATGGTTACTAATTCTGAAGGTTGCTAATAGCCCCATTCCCAGTTGCTCCAAGAGTGGGCTCAAGCCTCAGCAGAGCCCCCATGCACACACTGCCCGTGGCTTGCCTTCCCTCAGGACATGTGGCATGTCTTTTCTCTATGGCTGTCCGTATGGGGGGGTTGGCTAAAAGT